CAGCTGTTGGCTGCAGCTGTGCAGTACCTTACTTCCAAAGCAGATGTTGGTTGCAGCTGTGCACACTATCTTACCTCCAAAGCAGCTGTTGGCTGCAGCTGTGCACCACCTTATCTCCAAGCAGCTGTTGGCTGCAGCTGTGCGCACTATCTTACCTCCAAAGCAGCTGTTGGTTGCAGCTGTGCACCACCTCACACTGGTCGGCAGTGATTGCTGTATGGAATAGACTGTTGGAGACAAATCTAACTTGTGGAAAGACAGTGAGTGACTTTGTTGCAAAGAAAGCTAGCTAGAAATGTGGTTTGTCTAATCTTTTCATATTTGGTGTGTGTGTGTGTGTGTGTGTGTGTGTGTGTGTGTGTCTGTGTCTGTGTATTGCATAAATGTCACAGCACACCTGTGGTGGTCAGAGCACACCTGTGGTGGTCAGAGCACACCTGTGGTGGTCAGAGGACAACTTTGTGGGGGTCAGAGGACAACTTTGTGGGGGTCAGAGGACAACTTTGTGGGGGTCAGAGGACAACTTTGTGGGGTCAGAGGACGACTTTGTGTGGGTCAGAGGACGACTTTGTGTGGGTCAGAGGACAACTTTGTGGGGTTAGGTCCTGGGTCAAACTTGGGTAGTCAGGCTCGCATTTATCCACTTGGCCAGTTCTTTTTTGTTTTTGTTGTTGTTTTAATCTATGCAGTTTCTGAAGTATGCAAGAAAGCACTCAAGACAGAGGCTAGATTAACAGTTAAGCAAAGAGCTATCAAGGCTCCTTACTTTCTTCATGATGGTTGATAGATGTTTGTTAATTACAGTTTGTTATAGTGATGAGTATGTTGATTGTTGAAGCGCTTGTTTTCCCTGCCTGGTCTATCCTCCTCCTCGGCCTCCTCAGATGTCCCAGAGGGGACTATTGCAATATTTTTATTGGAAGTTTTCTGATCCACTCTTTCCCATTTAGCTCCCGAGTAAACAACACAGAAACACCAGGCTTTATTAATAAGCTACAAACCGAGACTGCACAGGTTCTGAGACTTATAACCCGGCCAAGCTATTAATAACCAGATAAATGTCGCACGCTTGCCGGCTGAGTCTTGCTCTGCTGTATGTGTGTCCTCAGTGCAGGCTTCTTTTGACCATATCTTCATGGTCCATTCTGTCTCATGGCGACCTCCTTCTCCTCTCTGTCTTTATCTGAGAGTCCTCGCTTGATCACAAGTCCCTCCTTCCTATCCTCTCTGCTCAGTCATAGGCTCCCGTCTTTTACTAACCAATCAGGGATTGTTGGGGAGCATGTTTACAGCACACTGCTCAATACAGTGCCTCCAAATCAGCACTGCAACCTGATTTGGTAAGTGGTAAGAAACCACTGTCACTTTTTAAACCAAGGGGCTAGTCAGAAGAGCTGACATTGAAACTCAGCAGGGCAAGAAGAGCCACCAACAGGCCCTTTGGTCTAAGGTAAGAGAGCATAACTATGCCCACTCAGACCTCTCACTCAAACTCAGGTAGATTTTAGCCAATGGAAATTCATCAGTGAGATACACACTGGTTTAAGGTCCCTCAAAACTGAGACCCATTCAGATGGAGCATATGTTAGTGGCTAGCCTGGGTGACATAGTGCAACCTGCTTCAAGAAGTTCCTCAAAACAAAAAACAAAAAAGAAAAGCAAACACTTGCTGGACATGGTGGCAGGCAACTTTAATCTCAGCACGAGAGGCAGAGACAGATGGATCTCTGTGAGTTTGAGGCCAATCTGGCCTGTATAGTGAGTTCCAGATCAGCCAGGGATTCATAGAAAGAAACTGCCTCAAAAAATAAAAAAAAAGTCCAGACTTCAATGTACAATTATAGCAGTATTTCTGTATCAAAAGACTCTGTGGTCGAATACAGTGCCAGTGCCATACACACATATTTATGAATATATATATATATATATATATATATACATATATATATATATATATATTCGTATACATGTGTATATATAACAGAGACACACTCATGATATCTTTATAGAGAATTCTATTAACATTCTCATAGTAGATATGAATAGAATACAGATGAAAAATGGTTTTTGCAACTTATTGACTGATGCCTTCTGTGGATTAAACTACTTCATTCCTGCTTGTTCAGTTTTTGAACAATCAGAACGATGCTTTGGCATTCAAACCTTTGGAAGATCTTACAGCTTTGTAAAATAAGGGATAAAAGCAAGACAGCATTAAATAAGAGAAAAACAGCCGGGCGGTGGTGGCCCACGCCTTTAATCCCAGCACTCCGGAGGCAAAGGCAGGTGGATTTCTGAATTTGAGGCCAGCCTGGTCTACAGTGTGAGTTCCAGGACAGCCAGGGCTACACAGAGAAACCCTGTCTCGAAAAAACAAAAAACAAAAACAAAAAAAAAAGAGAGAGAAACAATTCCCTTATTGTAGCTTATCTTTGAATAGACTGCAACATAATCTTAGCTACCTCTAAAAAGTCTCAGGAAATTTGTAGGGGACATATATACATACATACATACATACATACATACATACATACACACACACATGTGCACACACACACACATATAAAATTTGGTTTAAAAAAAGATTTATGTGTGTATTTGTTTTGCCTACATGTATGTGCATATGCCACCTGCATGCCTGGTGTCTGCGGTCAGGCCCCAGGTTCCCTGGAACCAGAGTTATGGATGGTTGTGAGACACCATATGGGTGCTGGGATCCCAACCCAGCACCTCTCTCTACAAGATCAAGTGCTTAACCACTGAACCAGCTGTGAACTACTGAGTCTCCTGCAACCCCCTCCTAGTGCTGAGACTGCATACAGACAAGTGCCACCCTGTCTATCTCAAGATAGTCATGTCTTAACTTATATTTGCAATTATATTTGTAGAAACAAAAAATTCCTTAATGGTACAAAAAAAAATAAAACCCTAAGCTTGGAAATAAACTAGTTCTTGAGTTTTTGTCAACAACTTAAACATTCTTGTTCTCCAGAAATAATTTAGATGACACCCTAGTGAAAAAAGATGAATTTTTCTGGCTCTAAGTATTTGAATAACATAAATAATTTAGAGAGTCTGGTGCTGAAGAGGCTTGGAAAAGCCTCCTCTACAGGTAACTGTCTCATAAATTAAATTATTAATATGATGTTTAATACGTCTTATCTGTGTATAGCAAGTGGCCTTCCTAATACAATTTTTTTTTCATGTTTTAAAGCTGTGGATTGGACCCAGCTTGCTAAGTTTATGGTCTGCCACTAAGTCTTTCAAGTCTTAGATAATTCAGCATCATAATATTCCTGCAAATTAGATCACTGTCAATATACAAAAACAGTCGTTTGTGAAAGGGTATGGGGAAAGCATACAAAAATATTCTTAACTGCTTTAAGGCCTGACAGGAAGAGTTTAAACTCCATCTTTATATATGTGGGTGTTTTGTTTGCATGTCTGTGTGTGTCACCCTCAGTGCCTTCTGAGGGTCAGAAGACGCTCTTGGATCCCCCAGGACTGGAGTTACAGATGGCTGTGGGTTGATACATAGGTGCTGGGACCTGAATCCCAATCTCCTGCATTCGAGCCATCTCTGCAGCCCCAGGAAAAATGGTTTTGAGACAGGGTTTTGATGTAGTGTGGGCTGGCCTTGAATGATGCTCCTGCCTCCACCCCGAGTGCCGAGCTAACATTTGTGCTACTAAGCCCATTTGCCCTATTCATGCAGAGCTGGGGAGCAAACCCAAGGGTTGTACATGCTCAGCAAGTTCTCTACTAGGTGTGGTGGTTTGAATAGGCTTGGCCCGTGGGAAGTGGTGCTACTAAGGAGATGTGGCCCTGTTGGAGGAAGTGTGTCACAGTGGTGGCTGGCCTTGATGTTCTATGCTTAAGCTCCTCCCAGGGCAGAAGAGTCTTCTTTTGAGGCTGCCTTCTGATCAAGAGGCAGAACTCTCAGCTCTTCCAGCAACATGTCTGCCTGCAAGCTGCCATGCTTCCTCATGATAATAGACTGAACCTCTAAACTGTAAGCTAACCCCAACTAAATGTTGTCCCCTATAAGAGTTGCTATGGTGATGGTGTTTCCTTGCAGCAATGAAACTCTGTCTCATAATTACATTATGAAGACATCCTAAGAGGCAGCTTTAAAGAAAGATTTTTTGCTTCTGGATTAATCATATGCCATTGGGCCTGAAATCTAAAACGACATTCATCTGTCTCATAACACTATATTTTACATGTGTCACATGTTTTGAGAGTTCAGGTGCATGTCAAAGATTTTGGCTTTCATTTGGTAGTTTTGTTACAGAACATGCAAAAATTGAAGGTTGTGAGCATCTCTTGGCTACCAGTAATGTGCACAATTATATTCAGATACCCAGGAATGGAATGAGCCTCATGTCTCCTTATTTTTTTTATTTATTTATGTATTTATTTCTTTATTTATCTATCTATTTTGTATCACCATGCATACTTAGTGCCAAAGGAAGTCAAAAGAGGGCATCTGGGTCCCTCAGGACTGGGGATATGGATGGCTATAACCTACCGTGTAGTTTCTTGGCATTAGAGCCTGGTCTCTAACCACTGGGCAATCCCTCTAGCTCTCTACATGTCATGTTTCAAAAAGAATACATACGTAACGACATTTTTAAAAATTTACTTTTTAAAATGTGTATGGGTATTTCAATAGCATGTATGTTTGTGCAGTGTATGCACTGTCACCTGCATGCATGTGTGTGCATGTGTGTGCAGTGAGTGTCTGGAGGCTAGAAGACAAAACAGATCCCTGGAACTAGAATGACGGATGGTCGTGAGCTGCTGTGTTGATGCTCGCATTGAAAATCGGTCTTTTTCACGAGCAGTGGTGTTTTTAGTCACTGACCCATTTCTCCAGCCCCAGTATGGATTTTCTTGACACTTGTTGCTTGCTCAAAAAAAAAAAAAAAAGAAAAGAAAAGAAAAAAGAAAGAAAATACATTAAAAGAAAAAAAAGTAACACAGCTCACACAACAAACTCAAACAATTTTTTTTTATTTAAAAATCCACCTCAAAATTCAGTTCCAGGTTTTAGTTTTTATTTAAAAAGAAGCAAACATTTAAAAGCATCTAATGTTACTATTCTACATTTCATGTACTTATGAACACAGCTTGTAGACTGACTGGAAAAAGAGCAGAGAACATGGATTGGGCACAGTACAGTGGCCAGTGGGCCAGAAAGCAGGCTGCATTGTGTACTCAGGCAACAGGTGAGAGGTCTGAACGGAGAAAGACAAGCCTCAGCTGTAGACATTCTGTTCTCTTTGTCCACTCCTCAAGCCACCAGTGAGTCTCAGATCAATGCAGAGACATTGTCCTTACTTGGGTGAACAATGGAAAATGCTAGCTGCTTCTCAAGTTATGTGGCAAAGCTAGATGGACACGTGTAATTGCAGTGACACTAATTCAAAGCCTGAACGTCCACACCAGACGATGTCACCTTACAGGTGAGAGACTCCATTCCTCTGTGACTCAGATCTGGCTGGGTGGTGGTCATGACTACAGTGGTTCACAGCACAGCAAGGCTCTAACAGTTGGGGAATTAGGGCAGTGAGTACAAATCACAGTACAAAATTCTTAATTCATTTACTCACAAAAGCAATAGGTGCTTGCTACATACAAGAATCACTTAAAATGACATTTCTTTTTTTAAAAATTCAGATATAAAACATTAATTGCATAGGGATTTAAATATAAGGCCAAGAAGAATATTAAGAAAGAAAAGCTTAGGAAGGGCACTACGGTGTTGAGAGGGCCATTTCCAAGAGTAGCAATCTTGAACGCCTGTCTAGTTGATTCAAAATCACAGTATGTTGCTGCAACGGACAGTGAATGCCAACTGGTTCATTAATTCTAAACCAAGCTTAGGATTAACAGACAGGTAACTGAAGCGCCTTGTCTGATCCAATCACTGTATTAGCACATCAGTGCCCTGAACGTACCTGATTAGTCAGTCGTATAATCTGCCTTTTGCAAACAAGGTTTAATACACATGACCAGGATAAGAGCAGATCATCAATCCATGGTGTGGATGGTGTGTGGGCTTATTAGTGTAACTAAGAGGCAGTCTTTTAAAGGTGCAAGATCCTACCCAGCAGAACCTTAACACAATGAACCCAAAACACTGTAATTAACAAAAAATAACAAAGTCCTACTATTAAAACCTAAGTGTACATGAGTCGGGGAACTAGGCCTGACCCAGTATATACATTACCCCCAGAATTTTTGGAAAACAACGAAGGACAAGTCCAACTATATTCTACAGCTTAAGGTAATGGCTATCACCTTCAAGGGAAAAGAGAATTTGTCAACCTGCTTCTCGTTTTAATGGTGTTAGCCTGTAGCTTTGACTGAAATTTCCAGAATTAAAAGTAGCTCATTTTACTTAGTACTGTTATATAGAGTAGTGTGATGAGGCAAAAAGACCTCCTGAGGAAAATCTGTTAAGGTAGATCGGGACGACCCAAACCAAGGTTTTAAATGAAAAGTGCATCAGTATAGTAATACTACAGATGTGTTAACTAGGGACAGATGCTTCTCTGGGAACTAAAACACTATTTCCCCAGGTTATTTACATATTATAAATCCAATACCACACAGCACCATTCACAACCTAATTTGCTTGAACATGTGTCCTTTTCTCTGCTCTGCTGGCTTGAGGCTCCACTGAGAGAGAAGAAGCATCTTCATTTGGCATCTCTCTTTCCACTCAGGACTCGGCTGTTGGCAGTGGCGATGGTGTGTCTTCACTTCACACTCTTGGTGGGCGTCTCCGACTCTGTGGACTGCCTCCCATCCGTCCAAGCTTCCCTGGTACTCTTCAGGGCCAGAGTCTTCTGTTGGTCCACCACGACGTAATCCACCCTCTCATCTGCCATGCTGCTGCCAGAACCACTGTTCTTTTGCTAAAAACACAAGGAAATACCCCAAGGGGCCATCTGTGAGGATGGTTCTGAGTGAAACTCAAGATTTGAAATAGATGCATATGCAGGTGTGGTGCACACATCTCTCAGGTCAGCGCTTGGGAGGCACAAGTAGGCAGGTAGATCTCTATATTAGAGTTCAAGGTCAGCCTGTTCTATGTAGAGAGTTCTCAACCAGCCAGGCTGCATAATGAAACCCTGTCTCAAAAACAAATAAGCAACAGTAGATGGATAGACATATGTAATTCTGGCATTACCTCAGATTAATGGTAATGTCCACTCCCTAACTCAACACTGATTTCTCTTAATTTTAAAACTATATAGAACCATTCAAACTAATACTGCCATCACAGAGGACATCCACAGGAAATCTAGTTCATATAACACAGAGCCCTAGACTCTCTTTAGCTTATGTTGTTTGTTTGTTTGTCTGTTTGTTTGTTTTCCTGGCCTGGATCAGGACCAAACAGCTCTTTACTCTTTGTGCAAGGAAAGTACTTTTGGGGGCTGGAGAGATGGCTCAAAGGTTAAAAACACTGATTAATTACTCTTTCAGACGTCCTGAGTTCAGTTCCCAGCAACCACATGGTTTCTCACAACCATTTATAATGGGATCTGATGCCCTCTTCTGGTGTGTCTGAAGAGAGTGACAGTGTATGCACATACATAAAATAAATAAAATCTTAAAAAAAAAAAAACATGCTTTTGGCAAAGTTATATTTGAGTGAAAACAAACTACAAAGCTGCTCCCTCTTCTCTTAACCTGCAACTAGATACACAGTAACCAAACCAGCAGGGCGGGCAATGTAGGGTTCCTAGACAGCAAAGACATTTCTAAGATGTGTGTGTGTGGGAGGGGGAGGAGCCACGCTCTCTAGAGCAAAGGTTGCGGTAAATGTGGAGGGACATGGTGCCGTGGGGTGGGGAGAGGAGGTAGGGAAGGTGGGATGCTGAAAACAAGGCTCCTGATGGGCTTGAAGGAAGGTGGTGTGAGCCTAGAGTAATAATCTCAACAGGTCTTAAATTCAGGTCCTCCAAGTTCAACCATGAGTTTGTAATAAAAATGTATGAACACACAAGGAGACAAGCCATAAAGAGTGTGGGCTAACAGAAACAGTACACACAAATTCGACTTCCAAGGACTTCAAATTCTGAAATTACTGTATCAGCATTATGAAGTGTGTGAACAGTGTTAAAGGATAAACCAGAAAAGGCTTTAAACATACAAGTAACACAAAGAGACTAATATCAGTTAAAGGAATTAAACAGCATTTCATCCCAGAGATAAATATAAAATAATAACAACAAAAAACAAAACAAAAAAACTTCAATGAAAAGAAAGGAGAATTAGTAACTCTGGTAAAAGAGCTAAAAACTATCCAAAATTAAACAGATACACAGAACATACATACACAGATCATAGAAAGAAAAATACAAAGATGTAGAAATAGTAGGAATACTGCATGTGTAACTGACAGGTAATAAAAAGAAGCAGAGAAGCAATATGTATGTAGAGTGATAGCATGTGTGTTAATGTGTGCACATGTGCATGCATGTGTATATGTGTGCATGTGCGTTTAAGTCTGTGTGTATGTGTGTGAAAGCATGTATATGTATGCATCTGTGTGGTATGTCTGTGTACATGTGTTTGTATGTTTACACATGTGTGTGTAAGTCTGTGTGTATATGTCTATGTGGTGTGTCTCTATGTGTAAGTATGTATGCATGTGTATGTAAATATGTGTATGTTTGTGAAAGTATGTGTATGTATGTATCTGTGTGGTGTGTAAGTATGTGTACATCTGTGTGTATGTATGTGTGTGTGAATAGCACAACTTCCATTCAGATTAGTGAAAAGACATCTATGTCTACACACACTGTCATGGAAGTGTAAACTCAGCAGGAAACAGCAGAAAAGCAGCCAGAAAACAGACAGGAGGTGTTCAAAGGGTACATGTGACAGAACAAGAGACTGGACAGTGACAGAGGGTCCCTATGTGGTAAAAAGGCTCAGTCAAGAACTGATTTCAGTTGCTCAACTACCCTGACAGTATGACAGTGGCCATTTTCAACACGGTAAAGAGCTTTTCTTTCTGGTGGAAGACCATGTCACATTAACATGACTACAGTGAACTTTTCTCTGTACAAATAATGACATCTTCTGTAAGCAAATCTTTCAATTTTTTTCAAACTTAATTTTCAAAATTATATTGAAAATTATCTAATTATGTCACAGGGGCGGGGGGGAAGAACTGTGATCTCAACAAAGCCTGCTTCTAAAATAAAGAGACTTCAGTTACACACAACCTGAATAGAATTCACTACCAGGAGACCTTCATTACAGGGACTCCAACATGAGTGCTGCAGAAAATCCGAGCTCCAAGAGGAAATGATCAGTGAAGGATTATCACAGAGGAAAATGTAAGAAAATAGGACTTAAATAATGTAAGTCTGGTGATCCAGGGCTGGAAGGAGTGCTCGGAGGTAAGGCTGACCATGCACTCACAGAGGAACTCAACTGGTTCCTAGCACTCACACTGCTCACAACTTCCTGTCATGCCAGCTCTTGGGAGCTAACACCCTCTTCTGGTCTCTGAGGGACATTGCACTCATGCACATATACCCACATATAGATTAAACATTAAAAAACAAACACTAAAAACAAAGAATTATGATGAAACTGTATAATTGGTAGGTTTAATAGAAATTAAAATTCAAGACAAAACAACATATGTATGACTTTAGCCATGAATGGTATTTTCCTTTTCTTTCTTTTTACAGAGAATTTCTCTGTAGCCCTGGCTACTCTGTAGACTAGGCTGCCCTCAAATTCAGAGATCTGCCTGACTCTGCCTCCCCAGTGCTGGGATTAGAAGGACGGGCTACCCTACGCAGCCAACCCATATTTTCTTCATTCTAAAGATAGCAAAAGTGCTGACCATGGTGAGTAGAAACCATACAACTGACCCACCTCTACAGAGGGAGAAACAAATCTATTAGTCTTTATGATTCTGTTGCTTGTGACTTAGGAAACAACAGTCACTAAATTTAAATAATCAGGCCCCCAAAGAACATGGTCCTTCAAAGTGAGCTTGACCTACCTACAGCCCACGGGCTCACTTACCTTCCGTGGTGGTGTGGACTTCCCAGAATCTAGGTCTAAATCCAGGTACTCCACTTGTTTATCTCCTTTGGGTTTGATCATAGGGCTGTTCCCTCCATCAAGGCTGTTGCTGCCAAAGAGATTCTGAAAACAGAACAGCAAACAGTGGGCAGACATTCAGGAGACACTCTCTTCTCCCACTCCCTCTTCTTTCCCCTGGGGTCTGGGGAGGGTCACTATATGTTGCCAAAAATGGTCTTGAACTCCTGGGCTCTGACACTGAATTCAGTTAAACTAATACTCAGCCTGAGGAGAGCCTGGCAGTTGACGGCTGCAGTAGGAGGCAGTCCTACTTCTCAGTGGAGTAGTCAGTCACTGCTAAGTGTCCCTGGCTGAGGTAAATGACTCCTTACTCATGCTGACACAGGCAACCCTTCATAACCCAGACACAAGTGGTGAAGGCCTGAAAAAAAAAAATGGTCCCTATTGGCCCATATGGAGTAGCACCATTAGGAGGTGGCCTTGTTGGAATAGGTGTGTCACTTTGAGGTCTCTTTCACATCTCTGAAGCTCAAGTCTGCCTCTGGCTCAGGCATTCACTTCTGCTTCTTGCCCATTCAGAAGCAGAACGCTCATCTCCTTCTCATGCTTCACCATGCTTGCCTGGATGTTGCCATGCTTCCCACCATGATGATAATGGACTAAATCTCTGAACTGTAAGCCAGCCCCAATTGAGTGTTTTCCTTTATAAGAGGTGCTATGGTCATGGTGTCTCTTCACAGCAATGGAAACCCTAACCAAGACACACATACAAACAGAATTATGAAAAGAGTAATAATAAAAAGTCTTAGACATCAAGTCATGGACGGCTGCAAAAGCTCTAACAAACATTCTTAAAACCATACAGGTCTGGGTGTGAAGGTACACTTGTAATTCTGGTACCCAGGAAGCTGATGAAGGAGAATTACAAGTTCAAGACTGTCCTGGGCTACAACAGCAACATCATATCTCAAAACAAAACCATATATGTATGTGCTCAGTTACATTTTTGTAGTGAGGGATCCTCATACTTCTTGCTTTCAAAGGGCAAGGGGAGGGTAAAGAATATGACCAAAAAATATATTGCATTAAAAATTTAATAAAGAATTAAAGATCCACATTTAATTTTTAGGTATTTAGAGAAGGATGAGTTCAGAGAACATTAACTAAAGGAGGTGGACCATGACTCCAGTCTTTCCAGTAACTTCTCTGCTTTCTCTTAGTCTGATCCCGTTCGCTCCCTCTACTGATAGAGGGCAGCACTAACAAGTAGGAACAAACAAGCTTGATGTGGAGAAACAGAAACAGACTTTGGCAAGAACTTCCAGACTAACAGCACAGCTCACAAGAATTCAGGAACATCTGGATGCCCAAGTAAAATGGCTGGCATCCCTTCCCCTTTCCTAGGATATGAGACAGGAACCCTGAAATATACAGTCACAATCTTTTTGCCCTTTGAAGGACACCATCTTTCACTCTCAGCTTGGGTAAGGGTAATACTCTGTGTCTAAAGGTGACCAATGCAAACACACTCACAGCCTACCTTGCCCCAGCTGGGACAGTTTTTACAGTATTATAAAGCCATAAAAGGGAGGCATAAATCCCTAGGACCTGCACAGTTAATTCCAGCCAGCTGTTCCTCAAGAGAATTTGTCAGCACTCCACACTGACCTCTGTCTAATTACCAGCAAAGCTGGGCTTCTTTCTCATCTTAAAGTAGGGCTGAAACTCAGCTTCTAGAAGGAAGCCTACCAGCTCTTGCTCCAGGCTCAGCAAGGAGCAGCTTGTCTCTACAGCAGCCTTTCACTCAGTGTTTTTCCCATGCAGTTTTTAGAGAAACTCTAGGATTCAGAGACTTGTTCTATATATTCTGTATATCAAGTAACAAAATAAAACAATAGTGCTGGGTTTTCTAACTTCTTAAGAAATACAGAAAACGGAGTGACGCTTCTGTTATTATATAGGAACGTTTATGGCAGTAGTGTTGGACTCAAAGTGAGGCCACCAAGTAAGAGTTTACTTGATGACATGTGACTTGACTTTTATACATAAATCAGAAGTGGTATGAATCTGTCCTAACTTTTCTAAGACTATTAATTTTGTTTACAATGATTTAATAAATCCAAGAGCATGTTGGGTCCTGTGAATTTCCATGGCATTTCATACAAGAGTAAAGAGTTCTGATGAACCTTGTTTTACAATCACATCTTTTTCTAGTGCAGGGCTGTGAGGGTCACTGAGTCTTGGCAGCTGGCAGCATGGGAAGCTGGAGAGGGGACAGTTGACTTTTCAGTTGTGCCTGGCACACAGCTATTTCCACTTGGGTCACTAAAAACAATTAAGTATATATGCATGTGTTTATTATATGTGGATGTGCACGTGTGTTCAGGGACTTCCAGAAGTTACCAGATGCCCCGAGACTAGAGGTGCTACCTCGAACCCTCTGAAGTAGGTGCTGGGAACTGGACTCCAGTGCTCTGTAAGAGAAGCAAGTGCTCTCAACTCTGGGCCATCTCTCCGGCCCCAATGTCAGCCATTTTTGCTTATTTGGAATTTTGAAAATTCATCACCTCATATTTCTTTGAGCATTATCAAGAAAGCCAAAGTACTTTCCTGCTTTCATGTCAGAGGTATGCAAAATTCTTAATCTCATTTCCTCAGTCTGACCTCTGAATGTAATGTCTTTCTAGTCTTCCCTTTCATTTAACTGGAAGATTATCAGAGTCCTTCTGCATATGACAACTCCTCCAGAAGCCTATCAAAACCTGAGCCTGGAGGATTTTATTGTAACACACTGTCAGTGGATTTTCCTGACAGACACTATAATTAATGAAGCTTAGCTGGGAAATGACTGTGAACCCATGCATATGGGTGTGAAATGTCCTTCAGGGGGTATGATGGGAGGGCTTGATGGTCACAATGGTACCACTGAGACACGGTGAATTCTTCAAGAGGTGGGGGTCTTAATTTATGTCCCCAGAGTCGTGTCCTGAAGAGGGCATGAGACTTGGGCTCCTTTTTTCACTTCACTACAGGTCATAAGGCCAGTAGCTTTGCAGTGCCACTAGCCACAGCCATGCATCACCACAGGCCCAGAGCGACACAACTGACAATCACAGACATTCCTAACACTCCAAGTCAAATAAACCTTCTCTCTTTAAGTTGATTGTCTCAGGAATTTATTACAACTATGGAAAGCTGTAATGAAAACCTTCATGTTCTTCACTGATTTACAACTATACAGACAGAACAATTTGACCATAGCTGGTATTAGACTTTGACAGGACTTAAGAAAACATCCCTTTAAAAAATGGTCTTTCATCATTTTTTCAAGTATAAGAAGAAAGATGTAAGGATAAATGTGTACAGACAATAAGAACATTTTAAGCTAAACTGTTTTCTAAGGGCAGCTCAGGTACAGGAATGAACACGAAGTCTGCACGTACCGGATCTTCATTGGACAGATTTGGGTTCATGGGGACGTAGTTCTCTTCACTGTCATGAGAGTCACTGCTCGATGTTGTACTGTGCACAGAATCAGGCCGAGGGGACATGGGAAACCTAGAGGAGCTGGAGAAAGTGACCATCGTGAACCTTTGGGAACAGGTGCCAAATCACCCCGTACAAAAAGAAAGTAAGTGAGCACATAGTCTATCTAGAATAGTCATTAGTCTACAGTTACATACTGGACATTTTTATTATGACAAGTGAAGATACTCTTGACCTTGGGGCTTCTCTAGACTCTTTTTCAACCCATTTTCCTTGAAATCAACAATTTTCGTTGCCTCGCCACTCCACACTTACTCCCTGGCGAAGCTCCTGGTGATAGGAGATCGGACTGGGGCTTGCAGCTCTTCCCATTCTGACAGAGGTTTTATCTCTAAAGGTGCCGGCTTGGCTGAAAAGGAAGGGAAGGAAGGCGTGAGTACACAGATCTTTGAAAAATAAACAAGGCCCTCTCAATGTTGCAATTCACGCTTGCAGGCAGACATGGTCTTACCCAGAGAACAAGGACTACAGCGACAGAGTACAACACTCAGCGACAAAAGGTAAGATAATGACACTGCTTGACTCAGTTCAAGGTCTAACCTCTACTACTGCTCCTACCATACATGGCTTCAACACAAGGATGCTGCCTGACTCAGCTCAAGGTCCAACCTCTACTTGTAAATATAAATTAAACGAGAAGTAAAGGTGTGGCTTCCTTTAAAACTTCTCTGGGCACTGTTCACATTAATTCACTGTTTGATGAACTTCATCTTCAGGGGAGATTTAAATCATCTGTGTCAAACACAGTCCCCACTATTGAAGCCTCAGCAAGGCTTTTCATATGTAAAATGATGTGTAGAAAGCACTAGAAACTTTGCTACACCCCAAACCAAAAGAATCATAAAAAACCAAACCAAACCAAATCAAAACCTCCTAGGCTTTCTTATTTTGGGTTCAAAAATATGTAATCTTAATCAACTATCTTATCAATATCACAAAAGCACTAAGCACTCGTTTTAAAGCTACAGATCACACAGGCTCCCAGCTCAAGCGTAATGAAGACACGGTGGCTAAACCTGAGTTAAGAGCGTTCCCTTCTATATCCTTAACAGACACACACAGCATCCTGGGCTGAATAAAGGGGATTCCTCCTCATGTTCCCTTTTTTTAAAAAACTTAAAAAATGTAATCAAGAATTTAATTTAGCTGTCATTCTCTAAGTCATGCCATAGTAAAAACATTGACATTATTTCTTATTCTATTCACAACAGAAAACATATACAGAGACAAAGACAGGAGACAACCTGGGCTCACAGCAGCCCACAGGAGAGAACCTGGGCTCACAGCAGCCCACAAGCAGAGGTGAAACAGTGAGCTGCTGCCTAGGTAAGGGAGATGCGGAGGAGACAAGCCTGCCTGCAGAGCACATAGTATCAGATGCTCCCTGTGTGTGCATTACTGTGAGAACGCAGGCCCATCGTGCATCTCGAGACCCTCTTAGAACTATCACCTGGGGAGCAGCTGGCAACAGCAGCCCTACCTAAGCTCTCCTTTTCATTTGAAGAAAAAAAACCCATAAAAATAAATAAAATCCCAGTGCCCCATACAGGTACATACCCTTTCTTCTTGTAGCAAAGTCACCTATGGTTTGTGAATCAGTTCGCTCTAAACCATGGGGTTTGGGTCTTAAAATTTTAGGACTCTGACCTAATTGGCAAAAAGAAGACTCTCTTATTAAAAATGTTATTTTTAAATTGGAAAATGGATTCTGTTACACAAACAAACAATAAAAGAAACAGAGCCATGTGCAGAAATGTGACATATTAAAAGCATAAACAAAAACTTGTTATCGGAAAACATCTAGTCTCGGCTAGACACGATTCATGCTCAGTGCAACAGAACAAAGGAAACAGCATGCTACAGTGTAACAGGCACAGGGGACGAGAGGGGAAGCTAGGGGGACAAGCAGCTGCTTGGTTTTCCTTACTTGAGGAAAGGCAGGAAGAACATGTGTCATGTTAGCGTTTCTTCTAACATGTCAGACAAGGAGACAATGGACAAGGCAGAATGGGCGGGGCAGGTGAGGCTTCCTTTGGCTTCCAGCTCGGGCTGCAGCCTTTACTTGGCTCTGCAGGGAAGCCAGGTGGCTCATCCTCTGGAGCTCAGTTCCGAGTTCTCCAGGTCAGCCTTCGACCTTAGTGGTCGCACACTTAGTGGTCACATACTGAGTCAGTCAACTCAGGTCCAGCAGAAAGGTGCTTCTTAGCACTTCTGTTCTTAGATGTGGAGCTGCTCTTGCTGCCGCTGCGAGGCCATGGATGTGGCCTGAACATGACCCGTGTGGACACCACACACGTGGAGTGTCTAGTATGTAACATCACAAACTATTCCTGAGGTTATCTTCAGTTTGCTGTTCACTGATTGCCTGTCCTACACACTTTCAGAAGGGCCCACGATGATTTTACATTCCTCCTGACTTTTCCTTAGTATTCTCCAAATCTTTTGTTTGTTTGTTTGTTTCTTTGTTGAGACAGGGTCTCTCTGTACACAGGCCTGGCTGCCCTGGAGCTCAAAGATCCGCCTGCCTCTGCCTCCTCAGTGCTAGGACTGAAGTAGTTAGCCACTGTGCCAGACTATCGTCCTCAAATCTCTTCTGTGTCTGTAGTTAAGTAATGGCTGCTGTCTTGCTGTGGTTCCTCACCTTTCTTTAGCTTCATACTCCAGCTCCCTGCAGCTGCTGTCCAGCCCTTAATGTACCACATGTCTCAACCAGCTGCACTCGCGGTGGCAGCACAGGGCCTGAGGTTCAGTCCTCAGGGTAGCCTGGGAAGAGCCTGGCAGCTCTGAGCAGCTGCATCTAGTCTTAACATGTCGATGAAAAAACAAAAAACTTTTAACCGAGAGGCATGAAAATAGAAGGCGCAGGTCATCTAGGGGATTCGAGACTTTGTGAGCACAGCCCAGATAGCTCCTGTGCAGAACGACCTCATCTATGAAAAACAGTGAGGCTTACCGGGCAGTGGTGGCACAGCCTTTGATCTCAGCACTTGGGAGGCAGAGGCAGGCGGATCTCTGAGTTCAAGGCCAGCCTGGTCTACAGAGTGAGTTCCAGGACAGCCAGGGGTTACATCAAGGAATCTGGTCTCAAAACACAAAACGAACAAAAACAAACAAAAAATAGTGAGGTTCTTAAAAACAGTAAGCTCTTTTAGAAACCCATGTCTTAAAGGGGCTGGAGTGTCCACAGCCAAGTCCGAATCATCAAGGACCGGAGAACAGAGCTCACAGTCCTAACTCCCGGGTCTCACTGTATTGGACTTGTTAAATGCTTAGCTACCTAGGAAATGATTTTCTTTTGCTGTATTGGGAGGAGCAATTTCAAATTAGTAAAGTAGAAAGTTCCTATCTACATTTCCTTAACTTTCTTCTATTAAAATCTTAATGTGGTAAAACAGCAACAAAATCTATGCTTAGAGGAAGAAAAATAAGAACAAATTTACTATTTGTGAAGGAAGCTTTCTCTCTCTCTCTCCGTGTGTGTGTGTGTGTGTGTGTGTGTGTGTGTGTGTGTGTGTGTGTATGTGTAATGTGAGTGTGTTTGTTTGTGGGAAGGTGCAAGCCTGTGTAAGTGTGGAGGTCAGAGGAAACCTTTGGGTGTCAGTCCTTGCCTGGGGAAGTAATCTTGGCAGAGACTGGTGGGAACTCAAAGGTCAATGCTGCTTTAGTTTTCTCTAACTAGAAGAAGAAATTTCAAACTGAAAGACAGAAGAACCCCAAGAGGCATCAGTATTAGTGGCCCTGCTATGTACGACAGCACAATGGAGTATCCAGTTACTTTCAGTGACTTACACCAGACACGAGCTGGTTTTGGCAGACAACATAGGGGACCCTGGAGGAGCAGCTGGTGTTGTGAGAGGCACTGCAGGTGCCCCTCTCCTTATATTCTTCTCAGGAAGTGCACATGCTCTGCACTGGCCAGGCCGCTCCTTGCTCTTTCTCAGACACAAACACCTCAGTCCTCTCTACTCTGTCACTATTAACAACCCACCATGGCTTTCTGAATCTATGTCCATTCCCTTTACACAAAGCTCGGTAACTTATGCTTTGTAAAACTGGCTTGATATACACCATGGCCATTAACCATGCCGAGGACTTCTGATGGTCAGGTACTGTCTGAACTCATCCAACCCTCTCCACGCTTTCGAGTGAAAGTACAACCAGAACAAATATTCAAGTGGTCACTGAGAGGTGACCCAGGGACTCTCTGTGAGAATCCCAGGGACGGTGATGGTACTAACAGAACTGGAGCCCTTTGCATCCAGGTGGAGGTTTCACTTTCTTATCTCCATGTGTTTACTCCTGCCTGGAATCCCTATCACAGTCATGCTACCTGCGAGTGAGTCTTCCCAAGTGCACTTAAAGTGTTCTGTGGATATCGCTTTCACAATTGGGATAACTCTTATTTGTCTTATTCTAATTCCTCATGTGCCCCGAAGAAAACCACCTCAACAATGATCTTCAGGACAAAAACAAAACAAAACAAAAAAAACCTCAGGACAGCTCCATTATCCCAACCAAGGACCAAGAAGACCTGGGTTTGGGAAACTGGGAAAGTTCCCACTAGTGGAGATGATAAACAAATGTGATTTTTATACCATTTTATAGTGAAATATAATTATTTTATTTTAGATCAGAAAGAAGTGTATCTAGTGCCAATTGACTGTCAATGTCTGCATAAAATTCTTCAACAGAGTACTCAGAATAAAGCCTAACCTCATTAGCCTGGATGAGGGTGTCCCCTTGGGATGTAAGATTCTTTCTTTCCTGTGCTCTCCTACTGTCTTGGCTGTGCCCACCCACCCATGATTCTGAGCAATCCCCTGTTGGGAAAGGTCTGCCTGCCAATTACTGTACCTAGCTCCCACCCCAGCTCTGCCCCTTCTCCCTTGCCCCAGCCCTCACTGCCACTCCCTTTATCAGGCCCCGCTCAGGAGAGTTGCCCTTGACGTGCCAAAAGCTAACCAGCTATCTTCCAGGGCACTCACGCATGTGTGTTTACCTTTCCACCGCCTCTGCCAAACCTAGATGGTGAGCTTCCCAGGGAAGCGACCCCGTCTTTCCTTGGGTTTATAGACTCCGTGTCTAGCAAAGGGGATTTACTGAGGGCAGGCCTTTAGCTCTCTGATAAACAAACTTCATTTATACTGACGTAATTTCAGAAGTGTTCAGCTTGGATACAGTCAAGGTCATCACATGAGAATCCCATTTCAAATACACAGGCGCAAGCCTTCTTGAAAAGCCCTGGATGCTAATGGTCTCCTGATAGGTAATGCCTACACAGACTCAATGCTACACAGAACTTTCTGAATTGGCTTCTAACAATGCAGGTGTACTCTTCTAAAGTTATGGGACCATTTCCAATGGGCACCCCAAAACCGAAGTGGAAGAAAAGTAACCCACAAGGTTACTACCTTGGCTAATTTCAGCAGATGATTTGAGGCAGGGTTGTGAAAGAAAAACATTTGTACTTGTTTTAATTGTGCTACTACAATACTGTAGTAACGCTAAGTATTACACAGGGGAACTGTCCCTGGCTGGTAACATATTCCATACTTCCTCCCTTTAAGCTCTAATAAGTGTTATCCACTTAGGAATTAAACATTAGCTCCTGTTTATGAAAACTTAGTGAAGGGAGGTAGAGAGATGGGTCTGTGGGTCAGTGGGTCAGTAGGTCAGAGCACAGGCTGCTCTTGTGGAGGATTGGGGGTGATTCCCAGCACTGACATGGTGGCTCACAACTGTCTGTTAACTCCAGTTCCAGTGGATCCAACGCCCTCTTTGGATTCCCTCAGTTGCTAGGCATCTACTTGGTGAATACAAAAATTTTTTAAAAATCTTAAAAAAATTAGTTAGGGTACTAATATCACTCATCTGATAATAAGAATTTAGTATCTTATGAGCATAATTTTAAAGAAAGCATGGTTATTTTTAATGATATACAAAAGCTTTAAGGATTTTCTTTTTGAAAAATTAGAATGATAAAATCTCTATACAAATAGACTCAGAAGAGCAAAATACCATCCTTGGTGGCTGCTGCTTCTGGAATGACCTGGAAAATGGAAACAGCAGAATCCAGGTGAGACCAGTGGTTAAACAGGGCTTACTTTTACTGAAACCCAATAGACATTTTATAAAAAAATTTCCAAACCTCACAAAATTCCTTTTCCATTAGAAATATAAAGGTGTCACAGCTACTCCAACTGTCCTGCTCTGTCACTAGAATGTGATGCTCTACTCTTCTGGCATCTCTTATAATACACTTAAATTAAAGCTCTCCTTATTAAGTGCATACACAATCTGGTTCGAAACAAACACTACAGGGATAGCATCGTGAACTCTCAGCTAGTGATCAAGCTGCAACAGCAGACAGCCGGGGCACACGCCAGGCGTCTGCATGCACAGCCCTCTGTACTTCTGCAGCTTCAGCTTGTAGAAAGTATTTGAAAACTGGCTAGCACTATGTGGACACTGTGGCAGGGCAAATAAAACTGGGGCAGAAACAAGACGAGGCTGCCGACTGTCTGTCATGGACTCTTCCAGAGAGAACAATTCAAACAATCACTCAGCTGGCTGAGGCCAGGCAGTGGCCCCAGCACTTGGGAGGTAGAGGCAGGAGGATCTCTGAGATCAAGGCCAGCCTGGACTGCTGGACAAGCTCCAGGATAGCCAGAGACACACAGAGAAATAAATAAAATAAAAAATTAAAAACAAAAAAAAGGTTTTCAATACTTTGTGTCTACAAGGTGTGTACTGACTTTTCAGGGACCTGTGGACCAATTACAGATCTCTTCATGTTCACTTACATCTTATGCCAAGAAGTAAACTTAGTGAGATTTCTAACTGGTTAGAGACAAAGACAAAAGGGACACAAAGCCTATGGCACTCACACCCTTTCTAGGACAACTCCAGATGGTGGCCATGAAGCATGGATGTCTGGGAGTTTACAGCTACCACACAGGACCATCCATAAACGTGTGAGACTGACAGTGGGCATCTGCCCCACAGCAGCCAGGCAACTGTGTGAAGGGATAGCCTGGACCACTCAAACGGTCTCTAAGAATCCGAAGCCTGAAAATGATGGAGGAGGCATTAGAGGCTGATGCTAACAGGACAAGGAGCAAGGAGGGATCAAGGCAGAAGGACTGAGGTCACAGAAGTGCTGCAGGCCACAGGGTGCAGAAGGCAGAACCCAGTCACTGGAGAGAACACAGGGAGGAAAGGAGAAAAGGGGGACAGACAGAAAAGATGTGGAGACACCTCACAAGACAAGTACACAGGGCAGATCACATATTTTCACAGAGTACAGGAGAAATACATCCTTTCTCATGTAAGAATAAAACCAAACACTTTAGTTTGAAGAAATCCGAGCCTCCCACAACCACAACATAATTAGTGTTAATGATTTAAGCCCAGGTTAATAAGAAGTTTGCATAGACATTACATGTCCTGAAAAAGCTATAAACGACATGTGGCTTTTCAAATGACCTTAATCCCTCTGCAAAACGCCGGACACCTATCAGTCTATCACACACCTCTAACTGTACTTGGTTATCAAGATTGAGCCACACTAAAGGTGTGAGCAGCACACTGGGTTCTGTTTGAAAGACTTAAGCCCAAATTTGTTTTGTTTTTAAGACAGGTGCAGCTCTGGCTGACCCAGAAGTATGTAGACCAGGCTGGCTTTGCATCACAGAAATTTACCTGCTTCTGCATCCCACACACCAGAATGAAAAGCTTGGGCCACCATGCCTGGCTTGAACCTAAGTTTTTAAAACCTGAGGAGACATTACCCAAAGTGGCTGAAAGCTTCCTGTGACAAAGAAGACCAGGCCTCACAGGCTCCCCTGCTTTGGAGACCATCCTTCCTTACGAGTCCAGAGTAAGAGCCATAGAGGCTTTCACTTATCCCAGAGCCAAGGCAGGTGTGTGTTTGTTTTTCTTGCTTTTTAAAGTCATGATGTGGAGAAAGAGAAAGGTTGCATAGACATCTTCACTATTCTTAAATAATCACATCAAATGCATTATCATCTGGAATCTAATTTGATAGTATACAGAATAGCAAAGCAAGGGCCTATCTAGTGTTAGGCTTGGTTTGCTATGCTTTATAAAAGCAAAATAGCAGGCAGAAATTAACAATAACAAAACAATCAAGACACCGACACACATACAACCTGAGATTTCAGGTCTCTCTTGACATGTATGAGTGTCATACATCAGCGGAGGGGACAGTCAGGCAAGGGTCAGGAGCTCCACCTTTATCTTCTGGGAAGAACATTTCAGATTCTCCTAGTGCTTGCCTGCTGCCGCCATTGCTCTGGGCATTCTTAGTTTGTAGCGCTATTGTAGGTCTGAGGAGACCTGGGACGCCCACCTGGACATCAACATATTCATTTACAAACAGCAGCATTTCTGGACTTACAGTAAGGACCCAGGCTACATAAAGTGCTTAGGCTTAGTCCCACACCAGTTTCCTGTTAGGTATGGTTAAATGCAGCCCTAACTGCATGTTCCCACCCCTTACCTTTTCTGTCTGGCTTGAGGTTCCTATCCACCGGGGGTGGTTCACAGTCAGCAACAGGAACTGGCCTCCTGGGAGGGGTCTTTGGGCTGGACCTAAAGCCCATATGAGCAGGGGGAGGGACTTGCATTCCAAATGAAGAAAAATCAAAGGTCCCGGGGGTCATTGGCACATAGTTTGGCTCCTGAATTGGCTCCGTAAAGCTGCTGGAATGTTGTCGCGGTGGTGAGTTGGGGTTCATGGGAACGTAGTTCTCATCTAGTTCTTCGCCTGAGACACCTCCTGCTGTCAATATGTTTTTGATTTTCTAAAACACACATATATTTCTCTTAATAAGCAAAGCCACTGTCATACACTGTCACACACAAGTATCGCGCCTGTTCCTACAGGACCTGTAGTTACTTTCATTTCATGGTCGCATTTACAGTCTAAGGTACTAAATCTAAAGAGTCAGAAACGCCAAGGCCAGTGGTCAGTCATACTTACAAACTGGTTGGGGAAGCCTTCCTGGGAACTAGATCTATCGCTTGGAAAGGTTCGTGGAATATCATAGCAATCTTGAGAAGTAGCATCTGGAATTAAGAAAAAACTGTCAGCTTTTGTTTCCCTGTTGCTAGCTTGCAGGTGCTCTTTCTCTTCAGACTTGTCCATGCACACAGATTTGTCAACCCTGAAAGGACACTCATGAAGCAGGGTCTCTAACTGGCAGGTTAAGTACACACCTATATGGTTACCTATGTCATGATCTTACTATGACAGCAACCGAATGTCCAAGCCTGGCAGGAGAAGGGTTATCTAAAGATGGAGAAAAGAAATGATATCCATTTTGAGCCACTAACTTATAACTAGGAAGCCTCTTTGAAACCCCAGCAACAGAGGAGACTGAGGTAGGGTGTGTGCGTGTGTTCGTGTGTGTGTGTGTGTGTGTTCAAGGCCATCCTCAGTTACTTAGTGAGATAGGACTACTTGAGATCCTGTGGCAGGGTGAAAGGAAGGGGGGGGGGGAGAAGGACAGGGAGGGAGAGAGAAAGACAGGGAGGAAAGAAGGAAGGAGCAGACCATTTCAAATAGGTATTGGAAGGCTGAACATATACCAATAAAATATTTTTATTGTATATTAACTCTTTGCCTTTTTTGCAACAGCTAGAAAACTCTACCACAAGATACAGAACCACTAACACATAGATTTTAGGGCATGTGCACTTAACACCTGATCTTTTTTTAAAAAAACAAAGATATCAAAATTATCCACTGGAGAAAACATGGCCTCTTCAACAGGTAGCAGTGGGAACCTGGATATCCATCTGCGTAACAATGGGACTAGATCCCAGTAGCTCATCCTGCAAACCCAAGTAGCTCCAAGACCTTCTGGAGGGATGCAGCCTGAAATTCAGAAGTGGCTGGAGAAGGGAAAACACTCCTGTGTGTGCACGGGCAAGGGTCCCAGCCACCCAGCAAGCAGAACCAACAAATGACAAACAAGACCTCATGAAATTCAAAACCATCCATGGAGGAAGGAAGCAGTGACCAAATAAAGACAGCCTACAGAGTGGGAAAGAACCTTTGTCAGCTATATACCCAACATGATGCTCACAGCAAGAATGAACTAAAAAACTAAGTAAGAAAACTACCTAGCCAGTAAATGGGCTAACTAAAGGAGTATATGGCACCCAAAGGATGGAACACAAATGGCCATTAACACACACACACACTACACTGAGATTCCTCCTTACCCCAGTCAGAATGTTGGTCATTAAACAAAAAACCAAAACCACACATACATATACACACTCTCACAAAACAACAACAAAAAACCTAACAAGCACTGCCAAGGAGGAGGACAAAAGAGGACCTTCAGACATCTCTGATGGGAACATAAACTGGACCAACTATTATGAAAATCGGTATGGAAGCTTCCTTAAAAAGCAGAGAAGTAAAACCACACCTACCATACAACCCAACTATACAGCATCCTATACAGCATCCTGAGCAGTTGAGAGCAACAGCTCACAGAGACCTGCACGTCGGTCTTTACCACAGCACTACTCAGAAGAGCTAAGCTACACAGCAGTCAATGGAGTGTCCAACAGCAGAAGACAGCATAAGGAAAGTGTGGTACATATACCCAATGGGATTTTCTTCATCCTTAAAGAAGAATGAATTTGGGCTGGCCAGATGGCTCAGCAAATAAAGGCACTTGCTGCTAAACCTGACGGCCTGAGTTTGTTCTCCTGGACCCACATGGTGGAAGGAGAGAAGCAGGGGACATGGGGACAATACACTCAAGACACAGTATTTATACTATAAGAAACCTCAAGAGTCTTGGGGAATTAAGCCAGTCCAATTCCACACTCCTGGGGTTTTTAGATTGAGTTTGCAGGCCGTGTGAGGTAAAACAAGCATGTCCACTGTCAGCTAAGTTGAGGAGAGAGGAGAGACTCAAGCACAACTTTGGCTGGCCTTGAAGAGCATCGTTGTCTGGGAAGACACTGCTGATGGAGGAAGGAAGGGGAAACCCCAGAGATATGACATAGAAATGGTCATGGTGGCACACAGATGCAGGCAAGGACATCGCTAGGAGTGTTTCTGTTCAGACAGCCTACTTCTACAGAAGCCTAGAAAGTGGGAGAGAAACGAGGTAGGAAACCATAAGGCCATACTTTTTTAGGCATGAGACGATCCAGCTTGTTTTCTGCTAACAGAGCAGGCACACAGACATACATGCACACAGGCAGGTAGGCAGTCCGGCAGACAGACAGACATGGACACAGACATACAGACACCTTCACAAAGACACACAGATACATAGACAGACACTCCCCACATATAGACCCAGATACACAGACATCCACACAAAGACACACACACACCACAGACACACACACACAGTCACTCTCCCCACCCCCCTGAACACACATCCTACAGGGATGTACTGACTCTGGTATCATGGCTACATGTGTGGAAGCTGCAGAGCTGCAGAAGGAAAGGGGTAAATACCCTTTACCACCATACTATGCTGAAGAGAGCAGTTACTGAGAAAATGCAGTTTCTGGCATGTGTACATACGTGTGTGAATAAATGTGATTTCTGTGCACACATGCATGTGGGTTCAGTTGTTTGTGTGCCCTCACAATGAGTGGAGACCAGAGGAGGATGCTGGGTGTCCTCCTGTATCACATATTGCCTTATTCTCCCGAGACAGGATCTTTTTCTGAATCTGGAGGTATGCTGGCAGCCACAAGAGGCAGTAATCCCCCTGTCTCTGTCCCCTATGTATCGCTAGGATCACAAACATGAGTGGGCACTAGGATCTAAGTGTAGGTCCTATGCTTGTGCAGAAAAGGCTCTTCCCCATTAAGCCCTGTAGAAACAGGCTTTCTACCACTGACCCCTAAAAGAGCAGAGCCTGCCAGAGCTTTACCTTTCCGCAACTTGTTCAAATCCACGGTGGAAATGGTATTACTCCGGGAGGGCGGCATGCCTGCTGTAGGAATACAGTAACTGCTGTCAGTGTCTGAGGCCGTGCGTGGGACTCCACACGTTTCCACAGGAGACCGGTCATGAGTTGCATGTGGCTTTGGTGGCCGAGGTGGGGGGATATCAGGAATGGTGTCCAGCTTTGATGACTGTCCCAATGTGCCTTCTGGAAATGTCCGTGGAATCTGGTAAGTGTTACCAGGTGTTGGCGGAATGTCGTAACTAATAGACACATGTCTCATCTGAGTTTCTACACTTGAAGTCCCAGATGGGGTATTAAAGACGTAAAGCTCTCCATCTGCCTCAGTACTTGACGGAGATTCCTTTGGCAACACATCATGGGAATAGCTCCTCGGCAGGTTATAGAGGCTGGACTCTCCAGAGACTGATGGAACTCGGGATGGTGGGCAGTCATACATCATTTGCTGCTGGAAAAAGCCATTCATTCCGTGTTTGCTCTGGGAGGAAGCAGGAGCCTTATGGGAAGGGACGTTGTCATTGCAGTCTGTCTCAGAAGAAGTGGGCTTGGCAGAGTCAAAATGGGTTCTGAATAGAATTGTGAATGACAAAAACAAAAAACAAAACCACAGTCAAGTCAGACAGATATAGTTTTGACACACACACTGTAGCTCAGCAATCAAAACATGTTTTGTTTGTTAGATTGTTTTTTGTAGTCCATAAGATTTAAAAACCACAAATGTTCTTTAGTTGTTTATAATTATAAACCAACCAACAGAACTACCACCACCAAACTGCCAAAGCATTCTCAGTAATTCCTGTCCTGTATTTGCCCATGTCCCCAGTTCCACCAAGGACACACACACACACACACACACACACACTAATGTTAAAACACAAAAACAAACCCTCACCAACCCAGAGGGACGTTTCAATCTGCGAGCCTGTAGACAGGTTTCCGGGAGGACCGGTCATGAGCTGAGTCTTGATGGATAAGAATGTGTGTACAACCTCCCCCTATGCTGAATGCACACAACCTCCCGCTATGCTGACTGCACA